TGGCTTTTGCATTTGTCAATGTCGTGAAAGCCATCGCAAAAGCAGATCTGACCTGCACCAATATGAACAAGAACCTCAGAGTGTAGCTCCAGAGGAGGCAAGAAGCAAGAGAACCGTGTAAACAAGTAACTAACAAAAATAATAGAGACCTAGAGTCCTCTTGATTGGGGTAGGTATTAAACTCTATGATTTCCTGTTTTTATACACAAAAGCTGAGCAAACGTATGAAAGGATCACATCAAAATTCGGATCGGCATGCAATCTAAACTAATATTTCAAACTTGGATGCTTGAAATTGCCAAGTGTATCGAACAGCTAAGATAAACCTAAACGATAATGCATGCTGTTTGATAATAAGCTGCCTGTTAAATACCCAATGTTCAAGACAACAGAAACATGCCAACTTTTCACAATTACTGAAACTCATATATATTTGCCAGACAAAGCAGCTTCTTATATCGCCCAACAAAACTTAAGCAGTCTTATTGATTTGGTGCGTTGCCTCTAATATGATTTTGACTGAAAATGGATTAAAACGATGAGCAGATTCTGGAATCATGTGGAATGTACCTGAAAATAATTGAAGGAGCTCTTTCCAATATCATTTTCTGGTGTCTGCAATCACAAGAAAACACCTAGTTTAGTACTTTGTTTATACTGTATGCAACCTTCAAAGGAAAAAGTTACTTAGTACTTTGTTTCTAATGTACACACCAAATAACTGTACAAACACAAAATGAACAAAAACAACGGAAATAACTGACACCATAGTCAAGCTTAAAAAGCACAAAATTAAATAGAATATTATATAACTAAAATTTAAAAAAAAAAAAAAGAAAGAAGGAAGAACAGAGATAACAATGTTGGCTCATGGATGTACTCTGTGATGTTCAAATAGACCATACAGAAATGTGAAAGGCATAGATATAAGAGGTAACCTGTGGATCCTCAATAGAAATAAGAGATTGCTTCCCTTTAATGGAGAACCTGAAGAACAAAAAGGCAACAAAGTAAATTACCCAACGGATATATTTTGACAACTTAAAGCAAAACACAGAAATATCTAACTATATATCAAAATTTCATACCCTTTGCTACTCTTCAGGAAGAAGGTACCTTCTCCATTACAAGATACGCCAACATCTGATGTATTTAATTTGCGTCCATAAATATCAAAGAAACTAACCTAAATCAACAACATAAGAACAAATGTGAGCAGCTTACCCTGAATAATATAAACCTGTAGGAAGGTTTTTGCTTTTAAGAAGTCCCAATATGCTGAAATAGCATAAAAGAAGGAAAAGGAGAAGGAATGGAAGCAAACAGAAATAGCAGGCAAGGAGGAACTGGAAAAGAGGTCGTCGCTCAGCTAAATAATTAGTTCTGGAATCTAAGATTAAGAAGGAAAGAAGTGAGCACAGGACACAGACAGGACAAAATGCACAACCTGCACTGCACAAAAGTTACAACCTTCCCTTTCTCTTGATTGCTTTTGAGTAATGGAAACTTCCTTTAGAGATCTTTCAAGTGGCAAGAACTAGACATCCTAGACTGATAACAATTAGCATTCATACTCTTTCTCCTACAAATGCAAGTGATATGGCTTTGGTTTTATCTTTGTATTGTTCCTCCAAGAATCTGCTTGAACTACCCATTAAGTATTTCTTTTTAGTTCTCCTGATTAAAAAAAAGTATTTCTTTTAGTTCTCCCAGTCCCAGACAAACTAAGATTTAGAGATGAGCCAAGGTAAAATTTTGTCCCCACCACTCGCCTGTATTAGTTGGCAGTAGAGTCAAAATGTTTTTCTTCCTGATATCAATAATAGTGTTAACAATTGGATCAAAAGAAATTAATAGCAAGTCAATAACACTTCTTCTAGCCTTCATCCAAAAAAAAAAAAAAAATATATATATATATATATATATATACACTTCTTCTAGTAAAACATAAAACAAATAAGGTTCAAGCTAAAATCCAAGAAGCTAGTAGGAAATTTCAGATATATCATTAAGTCATCTGGAAAGGAGGTTCTTTTACGGAAAGCAAAAATCCCGTTTAAACTTCCGCACTACTTATGATGTTCTCCATGCGAAGATAACACAGTTAGTTTGGATCTCTCTCAATCCTCTTTGGTAGTCTTCAAAAACAACACAATTGCTTGATGATTTTGAACTGATATAATAGGTGAGTGAAATTGTCCATGGAGTTTTTGAGAGAGATAGCTGAGAAGAAAGGTCAACAGCAGTCGTGGTTGAACATGACAACCGTGAATTATCACATTGGAACATTAAGAGAGAAGATTTGTTTCATATCTTAAAAAGAAATACGAGAAGTTCTTCTTTTTTTTTTTGGTGACAAGGAAGAGAGAAGATTTGTGTATTAGCAAGGAACATATGAAGCATATAATAGGTGAGTTAAATTGTCCATGGAGTTTTTGAGAGAGGTAGCTGAGAAGAAAGGTCAATAGCAGTCATGGTTAAACATGACAACCGTGAATTATCACATTGGAACTTTAAGAGAGAAGACTTGTGTTCATCTGTTTAAAAAGAAATAAGAGATTTTTTTTTTGTGACAAGGAAGAGAGAAGATTTGTATATTAGCAAGGAACATATAAAGCTAACACCTTTTCAATATGGTTTAGAAGTTCCGCACAGGCATGCTCGCATACAGCTGATATGGCTTTGTATTAAGAAGAAGTTGTAAGTAGACAAACTTTGCCTTAGGCTTTCATCTCCTCTTAGAAAGACATTTGTTTGCTAAATTATCTCTTTTAAGGATTTCTCTCTTTTGCCCCTCTAAGAAACTACAGTTTTGATTCTTTTATCCGTTCTCCCACCAGCAGTACGCTATCTTTCTTGACCATTCTCTTTCAAAGACAAGAACATTGTTGGGTCATCTTAGGTACAGCATTGATTTCATTGAAACTTTTCAAGTAATAAAACTTCGAAGGAGACATACCAAAAGAATTCCCAAATTCTGTTCCGGAGAAGCTTGACCATTTCGATGATTCTGGCAAATGAATTACATAGCATGACCAAATAATCAGAACAAGGTAAAACACAAAAACACATTGGTGACAACTAATTTTACATACAAACTAGCACATCACAATAATACCCCACAGAGAGTAAAGTTAATTCTTAAGTATCAAATAGTGGTACATCGTAAAACTCGATTCTTTTCCTCTTCTTTTTTCAGGGTGATTCCACTAAAAAAAATTCTTTTCCGTAAAATGATTTCACTTAAAGTCTTCAAAAGTAGTTAATACAGAAGTGATAACAATACATATTTGATCTAACCAAAACAGAAAACAAGACAACCTTTCCCAGATGGATGAAGTATCAGATGCAAAGGAAACAGGACTCACAGCAGAATTCCTTGGTACCTCAGTTCTCAGTTTTTTTTCCATCTCAACCTATGTCTAATAGAAAACACAATAAGTTCTTCAAACCTTAATGCCAAACTGACTGGGGAAGAAAAAGGCCAATACTAATTGATCAAATAAAGACAACAAGACTGAGTTTCCTCATTTCAGAAAAGTGTTTTAATCCATACTCCTTCAATCCCAGATGGAATTTCCATCTTTGTTTCATTTGTAACAGGCCAGTACTGCCACAGGCATTTTGCAAGTGAAAAGCAAGGGTTGGCACAGTTGAGAAAGGATATAACACCAGTGAAACATAAAGTGTAACAGCGACAAGAGGGTCTTTTTCTAAGTTATTAGAGGACTGCCGTAAAACTAATTCTTCACTTATTCAAACAACTATTTCACTCAAATAACTACTTGTGAGACCATAAGTCCAATTTTAGACATTAATATGTGACCAGTCGTAATTTACCATTCACACTATAAGAGCATGTGACTGAGTTTATTCACCTGCAACATTGCTATGAGCATCACAAGCAGCGCATAGGAACCAATCCCACCAGTATAAACCTGCAATACAAGAAGACCATAAGTCAAAGCAGAAAAGATCTAAACATTATCATCAGCAAGTAACCTTAACATGCCTTTTAAGCATGTCTCCGCTGACAGTTAGCAACTTGGATATATTAGAAGATATTAAGAATACCGTACCTCATTTAACTCTCTCTGTTGCAAGAATACTTTCAAAATCAAACACAATGGTCGTAGAGGGGGCCAGTTAGACATAGCATCCTATAGAGGTTTGCAAACACAGTAACATCAGATGCAGTTAGTTTCTACATCAGTAGATTGTGGATACATCAGCACAAACCTTAATAAATTCAGCAGCTCTGGGTCCATTTTCCACATCAAAACTGTGGTCAAAAACAGAAAATTAGTAGTAAGAAGTTAGCTAAATAACCATATGCTAAGGCAAGTGATATGAAGACCCCTTTTTGTCAACCCATAAGAAACTTATCTTCAAAATACAAACTCAATTCTTCCCTCAAGTCATCGTACTCTACCTTATCCAAGTCATCTCAACCAACTAAAAGTATAAAAGCAGTTGGGCTAATTCGATAGTAAATCAGAGTACTATCCCAATTAGCTTACTAAACCTTTTTTTACAAGGGACTATTCTTAGTAAACCCTTATTTTATTGAGATGAGCCATGGCAGTAACTTCATTGATGGAACGAGCAACTCCAACAGAAATTTAGCCTCCATTTCTTCCCAATACCACCCACTTCTTCATCAAAATATATCCTCTCCCAGAGGTGTGCATTATTCAGTTTATACCAAGTAAATCGACTGACCAAAGTTTTCATCTGTTTGGTTCTTTCTTTCTTTCTTTCTTTAACTTGTGCTTTTCAGTCATTTTTTGGTTTTAAGGGTTAAAGGATTTTGATTTTCTGGTTAGGTTCCTGGCTTTAACAAAAAAGGAGTATATATAGTGTGCTAGGGTTTGCCTTAAATTTGGGAAGGCCACACTACAGCCAATAGAAGGAGCAGCAACACTGTTTTTTTTTCTGATCTTATTCACACTGTCACATCTCAAGCAGTACTACTAGGTCTTCCACCTTCCGCTCTTTCTCTATCCTCCTAACTTGCATTTTCTTCTCAACGCCCCCAGGTTTCCCACTTTTGCGCTATAATTTTTGCTACGAATCTCCCCATTCTAAGTACCTTTGCTCTTTAGGCCATGCACGATGAACTTTAATTTATTAACAGAACTTCTGCAGTCATTTTCAGGCATCTGACAAAATGTCAGTGACCACTGGAGTACAACTTGCATATGATCGTAATTGGTCTGAAAAATGACTTGTTGCGGGAAAATGAAACTAAATATCACTATCACGGTTACCAAGTACACCATTTGACTTTAAGGTAGAAATTTTGTGTGGTGAATCAACGCACTTGGTTAGGTATTTTTTTTGAGAAGGTAACATTTGTGTGTATTGATATATAACAGTACATAGGTTGTACTGAAACCATATTTACAATATGCAAAAGGATAGACTACTGAGTTACAATCCTAGCAGTATTCTAGGACTTCTAGGATCGATACAGTATCTTCTGGCCACTTTTGTTTACACCAAAAATAAAAAAGTAGGACACAATTCATTTTGATCTTCTGTATTGAATTGCTACTATCCTCAAAACATCTAGAGTTTCTCTCCTTCCATATTGTCCACCATATACATGCGGGGACAGTCCTCCATCTATCTCTTCTTAATGTTGAATGGTGAATTCTAACTGATATTGACATTGCCCAATTGTCTCTAATTCTATGAAGAGTGTGCATTATGCATGTTTACCATTTCTCTTCACCAATCTATAAGTAGCCAAATCTTAGATATTATGGAAGTTCCCAACATTAAGTAGTAAGGAAAATGGGTACTAAGATGAAGTTGCAGCGTGCTTTCTCATCCATTTCGTCAATTGAAATATTTGCAAAAATATTTGCTTTTGCAATTATTATTATTATCATTATTGTAAAAAAAAAAGTGCACAACATCTCTAACCAGCTCTAAAATTTGTGCCAAAACTGCTAATATACAAATTCCTAACACCTAGGCTACGGTCATATTGTAGGGTTTGGAAGATGGGCCGTCTCAATATCAGACTTAGTCAAATGAGTTCAAAAGGTTGGTAGTCTTGTTTGCATAGTAAACGGTTGGCCGACCTTTAGAGGAAGCAGCTAAAAATAATGAGGTATGTCCCAAAGCGATTTCCAGTTACCTAGGATGAGGAGTGGGTTGTCATAGGTTTTTTCTCTAACTTTCAAGAAGCACAGAAGGGGAGAGATTGGTCAATTCTCCATTTCATTTTGTTAGCTCATTAAGATAATAAAGTCTAAACTAATATGAACAAATTGACAATCACATGCACCAAGCAAGAAACTCAAACACAAGAGGAACACAAGATAGAGGATTATCCCAAAACACAAAATAAAGTACATAATAAAATCTGTGGAATTATTTCCATTAGATAATAAACTGAAATCAAGAATGGAAAAGCTGAAAAGCACAAATCAAGCTCCCCACACTATCCAAATGACCACCAAGTAGGGGCAAGATAATTTGCAGCAAGAGACTAAGAGCCCGTTTGGATTGGCTTATTTTAAGTGCTTTTAAGCTAAAATAACTTTTAAGCCACTTTATAGTGTTTGGATAAAGTAAAAAAAGTGCTTTTAAGCACTTACTTTTAAGCTAAAATGACAAAAATAAGTCAAAAGCCAAAAGTTAAAATTCCTAACTTATGACTTTTGGCTTAAAAGCCACTTACAACAAGCCCATCCAAACGGGCTCTAAATGGAAGAAGTTCTCGCCAATTCAAAACATGGTTTTATTTAGCTACATTTCAGGACAAAGACAACACAAATAAACATAAAAAATATGAACTATCTTCTACAAACTTACAATAGTATTGTCAGAATCCCATAAAAGTTGTACATAATCAAACCTTATATCAAATGAAATGCCACTTTTCTTCTCCACAAATTTGATTATTGGCACACGAGCCTTTGATATCACCTAATTTGGAAAAGCACATGAAAAATCCAGATTGTAAGTTCTCTTCGCAGAAACCTATCACAAGGTTGGGGGAGGGAGGAAATGAAAGAAAATGTTCCTCATTGAGAGATCACAGGGTCATGTCATGAACCTGTATCTTCTTTGCAACTCCTTTTTGTGAGAGAGCCCTGGAAAGAGCCTGTAACCCAAGTTGAGGACTTCTAATATCTGACCCTAAAATCACCAGCTGTATATCAAAGAGTAGCTCAACACGTTAACTTTAACTTAGATCATTATTGTTTCCACACCACAATCAGCCAACAAGTCACATATGTCTAATGACTGTGAATGGAAAGATCTATCATCACAAACAAAGCAAGTCTGCAAACTTAAACACATTCATAACACGGTAACCACCACAGAGCAGTATCACGCTCCAGAACTATTTTTTCAATTAGCAACTAATTATGTTTCTCTTATAAAAGCACATGCTCCTTAATTGGGTCAACAGCCTTTACAGGTTTCACATCACAGAATAAGTGGTCAAGTACAGGATGTCCAGGTTAGCATGATGCTTTTTGTTGCATGTCATGTGGAGGATTTGGAACCCAACCAGTACAGTATTGAGGGGTAGTTGCTGTTGCTGTTGTAACTTTTCTTTGGGGGGATAAAAGGATATTGAGGGGTACTGTTATTGTTGTTAAAGTTAGGATTCTATTAGCTCAACTTTAGGCAGAAGTAGCAGCACTTCAGTGAGAAATTTTAAGGAAAAATATCTTTCTACCGAGAAAGGAAATCTCAAATTTACTTGAAAAATAAGCAGAGTAAGCTTACATCAACATCACTAGTGGGAAGATACAACCCTGTCTTGAATGATCCGAAGACTTCTGGCTGGAAAAAGGAATAAGAATGATAAATTAAAACAACGAACTTCAACAGAGTAAATCAATCTGCTTCTGTACATCACAGATATAATGTGCTATATACTGATGGGAGGAGAACGGGAATCGTGAGAACAGACCTTGCAGTTGGGCCAGATATATCTGATAACATTAAAAACACATTCTATGGCTGCATTACGAGATGCTTGCTCCTCAGGTGTAGGTGATAAAAACTCACAAAAATCTATTATCTCTGCAAATATAGCACACAGCAAATTTAGCTGCACAGCTTCTAGTTCAACATTATGTAGTAGTATATAAATATGTGTACATAAATATGCATGCACACAACAACAAGAAGAAGCCCAGTGTGGGATTGCGCAGTGTAATCCCACATGTGGGGTCTGGGGAGGACAGTGTCCAATAGACCTCGGCAAATATGCATGCACACAATTAAACTTTTATCCAAGGGTGTGATCTAGTTGTCAATGAAGTGGAAGGAGGACCATGAGGTCTCATGATCAAATTCTAGCGGAGCCAAAAGATACTAGGTGATTTCTTCCCACATGCCTATGCCTAGATAGCCTTATCTAGCAGAGTTACCCGATACCTAAAGGCGGATTTAGGATTTGAAGTTTATGAGTTTTGAGGACCTTGCGCTTGCCACCGAACCCACAGCCCATTTATGTTACTGGGTTCTAGTTTATTATACATAATGGATTTCTCAGACACATATATGGGGTCCGGGCTAAACTGCCAGACCCGTACCATATGTTGCATCTGCCCTCCCGGCACCAGTGTTGGTGAGAGGCAGAAACCATATGGAATAGTTGAGGTGGACCCAAGCTAACCGGATACCACCATCATGAAAAAAAAAATTATGCATGCACAAAAACGCATGCGTGTGAACAGTACAGGCATACATCCATGATCGACACATATACAAAGCAAATTTAATTGCACTGCTTCTAGAAGAAGAATCAAGAGGAGAGTCAGAATTTGAAGCTTATGGGTTTGGGATTCTAGTCCTTTTAAGTTATTGGGTTCTAGATTACTATTTTGTACATATTCAATGAATTTACAAATACAAGGTTTGGAGCAAAGTTACTTGTAAACTAAAGAGAATGTTATACACATGCATAGATATACACATACACATACACACACATATCTATGTGTTTGCGTGAGCTTATTCATTCTTTAAAATCATATTTCAGTTGAGGCTTGATTATAGATTAATCACAACCAGAAATTAATGAGACAATTAAAGGAAAGTGTGAGGAGGAAAATCGAAAGAAAATAACTGAAAACAGAATTGCGAGAACTAAAAACGACGTCGCAATACCCTTATGAAGCTGAAGCATAGGACTCTTAAACCGACAATTAGCACGAAACCAATTGCCTTCAAGTCCTCTCGCTGTTTCCTTAACCGGCAACGGAGTACCAGCAGCTGATGCCGGCGTCGAAACGGAACCGTTGTTCAGCTCGGCGGCGTCACCGTCGAGGTCGAGTGAGAAGTAATCGACCGCGGCGGTTTCCGGTGAGGGACATTGGATAGTAGACAGAGAAATTTCGTTGCGGAATACGAGGTAAGGCTCATGTTCGTCGGAGGACGACGGAGGTGGGTGCTCGGTGGTGGTGGAGGTAGTGGTGGCGGAGAGAGGGCTGAGAGTTTCGTACAAAAAGCCCTCAACCTCCATTGGTTACTGAACCGCACAATGTGCCGCGCGTAGTTTACGGTCGTGGAATTAAGTTGGACTGTTTTAGTGGGGGTATTTGATACGGACGAAAAAGTTGACGGGTTGATTATTAACCCGGGATCCAATTTAGGGTTTTGCTTTGATTTTATTTATTTTTTTAATTTATGGGTTGGGGCGATAGAAATCAAAGTAGCAAATTCTAGTACAATATAAACTTAGAGCTCTCGAGTTTGAGCTTTGGAATGAAATCGTCTTTAGTAGAATGTATTTTACTTCCAAAAGTAAGACATTTCAATGTAATTCCATTATTCGGGCTATAAAAATTTGTACTCCCTCCGTTTTAATTTATGTGAACTTATTTCCTTTTTAGTCCGTGCCAAAAAGAATGACTTCTTTCCCTATTTGGAAACAATTTACTTTTATGCAATAATTTATAGCCACACAAAATATATGTGCTTCATTTTACACCACAAGTTCAATAGTCTTCTCTCTTTTCTTAAACTCCGTGCCGAGTCAAATGGGTTCACATAAATTGAAACGGAGGGAGTATCAAATACCAAATTAAAAAAATATTCAAAAATGAAAAAAAGAAGGAAATAAAAACAAATCGAATTAATTTATGTTGATGGAGGTTTGCTTTATTGATAAAATATCTTCATCGTCATTTACCCATATTTTAGTTTTACTTAACTGTTTGATTAAAAAAATATTGGAACCTTTTTAGACATATCAATCAAAGAAAGTGAAAGGGTAAATCTTAGTTAAGTATAGTAATCTCCAGATCAATGAGCTAATTGAAAGAATAGTATACGAGATAAAGTAGAGGTAATCGATCATATACTCTTCATTGTGGCTCTCATTAATCAATGGGAGAGGTAGTTTTACATGTTTTTTTTTTGGAGATTCCTTCTTTCTTCTTTATTATGAAGATTACAAGGAAAGAACTTAGGAGAGAGGATGGACAGGAGACCCTGATCGAAGGTTTCCCCCTATTATATATAGTCATGCGACCTTTGTTATTCACTCGGTTCGACGCTCTCTCACTTTATGTCTGCCTTGGTCGTCCTTTAAAAGTTGTTTCTACTGCATCGACAGGTATCGAGAGATTTTGACCAATACAGTTAATCCCTCTGTCTGTTGGGGTCGTCCCCTGTCGGGCCAGGCAGACGGATCATGATTGTTACGAATTCGAAAGGAATCTGACTGCTTGTTCCTTGGTTGTACTTTTTAGGTTGCAAGTGAGATGACATCGCTCTTCCGATATCCCTGGACCGTTGCGACTGTTTCAGAACCGAAACGTCGTTTGATATTGAAGCGTTGTTTCGTGGTTGCCGCCATTATGACACATGTTCCAGGGGAACCGAAATATTTCGTGCCCTATCAGATTCGATTGGCGACTCTTGGGCTTCGTGCTTGGTGAATTTATGTCTCTTATAAATAGAAGGAACATATCCTTCGATTGACACATTTCTTTGCCTTTTGCTTGAAAGAATATTGCGAGCATATTTTCTTCCTGATACTTCAAATTTTCGTTCGCCCCCAACTGGTTGAAAACTTTCATCCTTCTTCTCCATTGTCTTTTTGCCCCTCCCCCTTAACAAAATGGCTGGTGATTCTTCTCGCACTGATCTCCCTGTCACAATTCCGGCACCGAAAAATGTTTGTCAGGCCACAAGTGAAGTAGAAGTGGTGGAGGATGAGGAGGTCTCGTCGGTAGCCAAGATTTTGCCTCGTCTTAGGAGAGAATGGAATGACTTATGCGGCCGCGCTGGGGTGGAGCCGGAACCTGTCCCTTCTGCTTTAAAGAAGAAGACATTGCAGAGTTGAAAGCTAGGTGGGGAATCCCTAACTACGTTGACATGCGGCCGGTCGCAGGGGACGATATAGTCCATTTTAACCGTCCCGGGTACTACGTGTTCTACGCCTAGCCCTTTCTCATTGGGTACACACTTCTTCTCCCTCTCCTGGTGGTGGATTTCTACAATTTTTACGAGGTATGCCCTGCCCAACTTTCGTCGTACCTATACAAGTTGTTCCTTATGTTGCTCAAGTTTGCGGAGCTCGTCGGTCGTAAGATCACTTTGGATCACATGATCAATATCTTCGCCCTTCAACTCATTCACGGCACAATGCTTCACATGCGTCCTCGGGGGTCGAAGAGTCTGGTGGTTGATAGTAGGTTATATAGATGATATTTACACCTTAATATTACCATATTTTACTGTGTTTTTATAGGCAAATTGATAACAAAATGCTCTAATTGGTGTTCTTTTGCTTCGCAGGGAATAATCTAATGGAGGAAGCACTAAGGAGTGTTTTAAAGTCAATAATGTGAAGAAAACGCCCAATCAAGAAGTACCCGAGCATGAAGTAGCGAAAATGGAATGAAGGAAATCCACCGCGATCGCGATGGAACCGCGGTAGATCAAGTGGCGAGGCAGAATGTTTAGCGTTCACCGCGGTCTTACCGCGGTTCTGCCGCGACCGCGGTGAACTGTTCATTCGCCAGAAAATTGAGGGACCAAAGTGCAAAAATCGGGAAAACTTGTTCCAAACCATTATTAAACTTTAGAAGCTCGCCCACAATAGAGCTAAGCTGGTTTTTAGACATTAATGGAGGCAAGAACAAGTGTGAGAAGATCAACCAAACATTAGAGTTTTTCTATCTCCCTTTTATTTTCTTGCAATCTTATATTATGAACAATTTAGTAGTTTTCTCGTATTTTTTTATGAGTAGCTAAACAATTATCTAGGGTTGATGAACCCAATTGTTGATTGAAGTTTTGACTCAACTTGTTATAATCGAGCCGGATTTATTATATGATTGTTCTACTATATTTTGTATGGTGATTAATTGAATGGGCCCTTGATTAATCGTGTCTAGTTACCTCTTATTGCTTGAGAAAAAATATTGGGTTAGATTGATGTTAAACAACATCACTTTTGGGCAATTGAAGAGATTCATTACTTGAACTTAAAATTGGGTTTAGAAACTTTGGTGGGATAATTTAAAGTTGTACATATTGTCAGCTAGAGTAGTTCGAGAGAATGCTCTAGTAAATTATTGTAGTTGATCGAGAGATAATTACGATAATCCATAGCTCTTAATCCTCATAGAATATTACGGCGAGATTATAGCGAAAGAGTCAAGATCTAAAACTAGCAATTGGGGACATCACTGCCCTAGACCTTTTTACCATTGAATTATCTTTGCTTAAGCTTATTGTTATTTTTAATATTATTCGAAGTAGTTAAACGAAAACCAAATCTTTATTGATCAAAATCTTATATCTAGAAAGTGGTTGAGTTGATAATAGCATTGCCAAAAAGTTGTAATAGATAGGATTATAATTGCAACGACCATTTTGTCTTTTAGAAGGCATAGTTGGGCATGATCAAATTTTGGCGCCATTGTCGGAGAATCTAACGGTGTATTTATTACAACTTAGAAGTAGTATTAGAATTATTAGTTTAAATCAATTTTTGAAGGTGTTAAACAACCTTTTTATTGAAATTCTCACGTTTGAACTCTTGTGAACTTCAGGTGTATGCCTAGAAACTCTTCAAGGACTGGAGAACTGCTTGAAGGACTCTCAGATCCCGAGAAAACATTCAGGGCATTGAAACGTGCCAACAAGAGGATCCACCAATCACAGCACCACACCAACTCGAATTTGATATGGGTGATGCAGAAAACATCAATAGAAATATCGGGGATGCGCAAACGCCCCCAAACGTTGGAGTAGTGGCACCTCTTATGCCAGAAGTTGCACTTTATGATTGGGCACAGTCTACAGCTAACAACCTGGATACTGCCATTGTTATGCCCCCAATTCAAGTGGAGACATTCGAGATCACCAACAACATGATGCACCTTCTGTAGAATAAGGAATTGTTCTCCGGGTCACACATTGAAGACCCTCAGCAACACTTGAAAAATTTTCTATCGGTTTGTGTGACCCAAAAACAATCGAATGTGACCTAGAAGCTATCAAGCTACTACTGTTTCTATTTTCCGTGACTGGGGAAGCTCATACTTGGCTGAATTCGCTCCCAATCAATTCCATTGTCACCTGGGAGAAATTAGTCAAGTAGTTCCTGAATAAGTTCTACCCGCCCAACAAAACTGCAATGCAGATTGATGAAATATTGCAGTACAAGCAGCAACAGACTGAGACCTTGTGGGACACTTGGGAAAGGTTCAAAGGGATGCTAGTGAAGTGTCCTCACCATGGTATTCCGGATCAAATGCTCGGGCAGAGATTCTATATGGGGTAAGCTGACAATTTAAAGGCCAATGTGATGCTTCAGCTGGAGGTACATTTTTTAGTAAGACATTCACCGAGTGCAAAGTCCTTCTTGACAAGATGCCCCAAAATTAGGGGTGGATGACTAGAGGTACAACACTAGCACCCATAATGCATTCCATTCCTCTTGACCCAAATAATTCGCATGCAGAGAACATGGCCACACTCCTGACTCAAATGAGTATATTGACAAAGAAGTTTGATGCGATGGGTACGAAACAGGTGCATATTGTTGACACAACAAATTGAGGACTGTGTACACCCTGTGTTAATCAGTCTTATGTGTGCTCATGGAGTGGAGAAGGTGACAATCAAGGGGTAAGAGAAGATATGAATTATGTCAACAACTTTGGGGGTCAGAGACCAGGAGGACAGCAGTGGAGACCGACACCATATCAACAATACAGGCCAAACATGCAACATCCTGGAGGTATGCAACCTCAAGGCCAAGTGGTGTCATACCAGAGATAGCAGGGTTATCCACAACAGAACCAGCAACAGTTGACATATCAGTCACCTGCTCAACAACAAGATAACAACATGGTAGAGATCAGGGGTATGCTTCAGCAGCTCATTGGGACAAATGGTAAGATGCAGGAAAAGTTGGCAGTGCATGACTCAGCTATAAAGAACATTGAAACTCAGTTGGGGCAGTTGTCTATGGCTTTAAACAACCGCCCCCAAGGAACATTGCCAGCGACACAAATATCAACCCCAAAGAACAAAACTCGAATCAGCTGATGGCAATAAGTCTCCGGAATGGGAGAGATTTAGACAAAGAGTAGGAAATGGCACAAGCCAGCAAAGAGACTACGCCAGCCACGCCAATTCCACTAGAAGTAGATGAACCAGCAGAACTTACTGAAATGGTGGT